CAACATATACAAAAATAATGAAATGAATTTTGTGATCTTCTAAATAATGTCTCTCTAAAATTTCATAATTTCTTAGGTAAAGAATTGTACGTATAGAAAGCTCTGGGTATAAATTCCTCAATCTAGTACAAATTGCCTTTCACAGTTCATATCCAAAACACATTCGATGAGGAACAAGTATGAAACTTACTTTAAAATCAATAATATATTTTATACATTGTCCTTCGGGTATATCCACAAGTTCATTGTTCAATCGGAAGAATACACGATATGGAATCTTCACTCATGCAAAATCTTCCCAAATGTTTGAAGGTTGAGAAATTTGAATATATGCCTGTTGTTGAGCTTGGCGAGGTTGACTTGACACGTCTTGTTGAAGCGGAACCTGCTGGAGGGTTTGAGCTGGCATGGCTTGTTGAAACGGAACTTGTTGTTGAGGTTGGCTTTGTGTCTGGTAGTTGATTTGACCCTGAATCTAAAAAAAAAAACATGAGAAAAAAAATATAATCAATTTTCCACGTTACAATGTTGGCTAAATGAAAAGAATTCAAACTAAAAAACAAAGATGACATAAATCTAAAAAATAATACAACATACCTGAGGCAGCAAATGAAGCTCTCCTTGCAGGTCGGTCTTGAGGCTGCAAATGTCTTCGTATTCTTCCCATGAGATGCTTATCGATTTTTCCCTAGAGTTAATGTGAACATAGAGTCCATTGTTTCCCTCAAAGCGGTTGGTTGTTACTTTCAATCTCTGCGATAATTGGCTGACAAGTTTAGGTTTTCCGTTAGCATTATGCAAATCTACCTGTCCATAGACAATTGGAGTAGCCATCTTCTTAAAAGGTATCGATGCAGATCTTTAAGTGGATATGTTCTAACACTAATCTTGCAGGTATATTTATATGTTTTGTCATTATTTAATGTGGGCGCATCATCAGCCAATGAAAATGTATGTATCATATGATTGGCTGGTTTGAGATTATACCGTATCCAACCAGATCGAAACACTTGGGAACATATGCAGAACAAAAAGAAACTGCGCAGAACATATGGAAGTACGGTTGTGTTCTTAATTTTAAACCACAATTATTCTCCGACCACAAGTTTCCACATAAAATACACACATTGATAAAACCACAAGGACTTCCTCTGTGTGAGAAGTTCAGATATGTAGCAATTTGATTATAACGACCATCTTCTGTCGTAAACACGTTCCGTCAGACTTGATGGTGCCAGTTTCCGCTTAAAATAGGGATGTTGCGGTTAACTAATAAAAAGTTAAAACCACAAGAATTTCCTGTTCGTGTCTTCAAAACTCTCACGTAGTAGAATTTCAAGTACATCAACCTACATGTGTTCCCTTAACGACCATCCTCTACCGCAAACATAGGATGTTGTGGTTGCCTTAATATAAAGGTAAATCCGCAAAAACATATATGCAATCGTTTATCATACATTAAAGGCTGTTCCCAAATGAGAAAAATACGCAATAATATCCCATCTGTCAGACTTGATGGTGTCAGTTTATGCTTAAAATACGGACGCTGTGGTTACTTTAATATTAAGCCAAAACCACAAGAATTTCCTGTTCGTATTTTTAAAGCTTTCATCTTTCAGAGTTTTAAGCTTGTCAACCCACCCATAATGACCATTCTCCGCCGTTAAATAAACGAGCTACCACAAAAAAAAGTGACAATTTAATCTTGGTACGTATAGTATATTTAAAACAGATGCGAATACCAGCAACTGGGAAAAAAATAACTTTTAACATGAAAAAATTAATATCTTAAAAGGTGTTAATTTGGACACCGCGGTCACCTTAATGTTAAAACCACTTGATTTTTAGCTCACCTGGCACAAAGTGCCAAGTGAGCTTATGC